TTACATGTGAATTTCAGATAAACAACAGATACATTTTTAGTGTACACTACACCCCAGAGTCCACGGGATAGGTTTATACTTAAAACCAGTACTTGTTGCTTATCTGGAATTCAAGCAGATCTGGCCACAGTGCATTTTTATGTGTAAATCTGGAAAGCCGTCCTAAGAGATGACCTTTAGACTGGAATCCATCTTCCCTTTCACATCCCCACCTGTACAGTGTGTGTGTGTGTGTGTGTGGCCTAGAGGCATCTACCTCACAGGGTGGCTGTGCAGGTTGACTGAGTCAAGCAGCAGAGAGCACTCCGCACCCTGTCAATCCATGGTAAGCACTTGGGAAAGATTAGCTAGCGTGGTTTTTTTTCTCTCTTGCAATTGGTAACCATCTATTTTAGTTCAAATGCATAACTGTTACCCAGCAGACCCTGGAAAAGTCTGACCACGAGGGTGTTCTGAAGTTGGGGACAGCTGTGTTTTCTATCCTCTGCAGCAGGCCTGTAGACACTGGCTTTTGTGTGACTGTCACTGGGGCACAGCTGGGCTGCTGGCCAGAAGGTAGGCAGTTCAAGCCCACCAACCACTCCGTGGGAGAAAGAGCAGGCTGTTAGTTGCTGTAAAGATTTACAGTCTCGGAAACCCGGGGGTGGGGAGGGGCGGGGCTAAGTTCTACTCTACCCTATAGGGTTGCTGTGCGCCGGACTTGAGTTTGGTCCCACGGGTATGCACCTGTGAGGGAAACTGCAGTGACAAGGAGACATTGACCCTTGGCAGGTACCACCTGTGGCTAAAATAAGACCGAGGAGCCTGTGGTTGAGGGTCCACGTGGCCCTCCAGGGGGGACAGAGCAAGTGCCTAACAGCCCTGACTCAGAGCTGAGCTCTCGGTGCAGCCTGTGGAGGATGCTACTAGGTGGGGTCACCAGCCCCTCACTGGAATTGGGGACCCAGAGGAGCAGCCAGGAATGGCAGACCTGGGATTTGAACCTGGCGCCTGTGGCTGAAGGTGCCAATGCTGCTCTGGGCGGCCCCACAGGCTCTCCGTTGCGAGGACGCTGGCTTTCATTGGTGGCTTAGAGGAACCCCAATGGTCCCCACCCCCCACCCCGTCCATCCCTCCGACACTGAACTCAGAACTCACGGCATCTGGAGAGACACAAGTCCACGGCACCAGGGTCCACCTCTCCCAGGCAGAGGAAGGCCGCCAGGCGGTCAAGGGACACCCGGGCCTGCGGAAACCAAAGGCCCAGGTCACCACCCCTGCCGGCGAGCAAAGCACGCTGGCTTCCAGTGCCGGCACCCCAGGGTGTATGGGAGAAGCCTCCTACCCAAGTGAGCCCTGGGCATTTGCAAGGGGCTTCCCAGGTGGCAGCAGTAATGCTCAGTGAAGTGGTGATGGCGGTGGTGGTCCCCGCCCTGCCTTCCTCCTTGTGAGCAGAACCGGGCCCTCTCCCAGGCCCCCCAACCTACCGTAGTGCAGGCAGGCCTGAGGAGAAGCCTGGCGGCCTTCCTAATCCCACCATGAGCCACAATCGGAGGCCGGTTCAAACGACCCCCGAGGGCCCCTGCCGGCTTCTCCTACACGACCCGGCTTCCTGTAGCCCCATGGGGCTGTGTGACGGGGATAGAGTGCATCCAAGCAGAGGGACAGCTGCCCCACAGACCCGCCGAGCGTGGGCTCGTCTGTTTGGAGCATGACGGCAGAGGGCACCCTCCCGGTGACCTCCGGTTTGTTCTCTGTGTCCTTCTGCCCCACTTGCTGCTTCTCCAGGTGCCCTGGTGGTGGCGTGCGCTCCTCGTGGTCGGCGGTAGAAACCACCAGCAGCTCGGAGCAAGGGCTTTCCACTCCCGTCAACAGCAGTCACAGGCTCGGAGACCCACAGGGGTCACCACGAGTCAGCACTGATGTCGTGGCAGTGGGGTCTGCTGCTTCTCCTGCTCCCTTCTCACCCCCCCTCCCCACCCCCATGCTGACAGTGTGTCGCGGGTGAGGAAGGCCCGGTGCGGCTGCTCACCTGGATGACGGCGTGGATGGAGAAGGGCAGCAGGGCCTGGGCCTTGTTGAGGATGTGTAGCACGGTGAGGCTCACGAAGGCTTTCTCTGCACTCATGGCGTTCTCCTCGGCCACCAGCGTGTGCACCGTGAATACCACCAGAGCCACCTGGTAACGGCATCACCACGATGAGGAAGCCCAGGTCAGCTGGGTCTCCCACAGCCCCCGTCTTTCGTTCAGTTGCACACAGGGTCGCTGCGAGTCAGAACCGTCGCTCGCGATGGCAGCTGACAATCCCACCACCCCATGCCCTCCTCCCCCACATCTTTCCCTCGTCACCCCCTAGTTCTCGCCCCTTGGTGGCATCGGTGAGTGTCAGCAAGTGGATTCCATCTCACAGCCACCCATGTGGCAAAGCAGAACTGCCCCCTAAGGCTACCCAGCCGATCACCGGCTTCATGAGCCACAGGTAGGGGTGGACCGTGAGCTCATCTTGCTGTTCACAGCCGAGAGCTGTAACACCAGAGCTTCTGGGACATAAAGCCGTGTCATTCTCTCTCGGATAGCTGGGTGCAGTGAGGGAGGACGGTGTGGTCCCCTTGGTCTAAGTATCCGAAATTCTTGGTACCAGGCATTGACAGACACTGGTTTTGAGAGATTGGTCAGCGGTGACAGGTTGTCCTTATAAAGATCTCCAGCCAGAGAAACCCCACGGGGCTCTGTCCTGGAGGGTCGCAGTGTGGCTGAGTGGACAGTGTGGATTGCTCTGGCAGCAGTGGGAGTCAGGGATGGGTTGCGAGCAGGAGCACGGCTGAGGAAGGCGTGCCAGCAGCCGCTTGGGGAACAAACAGGAGAGGAAGCACAGGCTCCCTGCCCTGGGACAGGCTGTCGTGAGGCTCGTGGAGGCCAGGTGGATTTGGGAAGAATACCTGGGCCTCTTTCGGCACCCATCTCCTCTCCATCCCGGCAGAAATGGTGGTTTGGGCTCCAGGAGGGGAAACCCAAACCGTGTGGACAGCGCAGCACCGCCCCACAGGCTTCCATGGCTTCCATCCCGATGGAAGCAGGCCTCTTCCTCTTCCTCCTGAGGAGTGGCTGGTGCTAGGAACCCACAACCTCACCATCACCTAACCACTGCCCCACCAGGCCCCTTGCAGGAGGAGAAGGGCCTAAGCATCAGAATGAAGCCACTGGTTCGTGCACTCGGCCAAGACCAGGGACCAGGGGGCAGAACTAAAATGTCCTTGGGGGACGGGGTGGGGTGCTGCTACAACAGGCTCCGGAAGGCACACCCTCCACACACCCCCACACCCCCAACGCTCCACATGAGAACAAGGTGGTGTCACCAGAAACGTGGACATGTGGAAGGCCACCAGGGACACACAGAAGAGGAGGCTGGAGGTCCGCAGCGCACTCAGCTCCTGACTGCGGATGCGCAGCACTCGCTCCAGGAAGGCCTCCTCCCAGCCGTGGAACTTGATGACCCGGGCACTCCTGAGGATGGCGCTGCACAGCCGCGACCGCGCGTCCTTCTGCTCCATCTGCTGCCCCTGGGGGCCAGGGAGAGGGGGGGACAAGCCTAGACCCTCCTCCCCCCTGCCACACACAGCTCCCCTTCTGCAAATCCACCTCCAAACCAGCCCCGTCCGTCCCTGTGCCTCTGTCACGTGGCCTGGCCTGGGCCCTCCTCCTGGCCTGCGGTCTCTGCTCTCCTCTCAGAGCCCCTGCCACTATCTAGTTAACCCGGGTGAGATACCACCACGGAGGCTTCCTGGAGGAGGAGACAGACGCCTGAGCTCGGGCTCAGACCAGGAGGTGGTGCGTCCACTGGGGCTGGGGGCAGTAGCCGCCCTAGGGTGATGCCACCCCCACCCCTCCAGGGAGGCTTTAGGATCGTTTGGGTCACAGAACAGTACGGGAAGTCGCTGAAAGCTGCTTCCCTGGACATTTCTGAGATTAGGCGGCTGCTAACAGCACAGTGTCGGACCACGCCTGTCCCTACTAACATCGCCACAGTGTTCGTGAGAACACGGCGAGCCACGGAGCCGCTCCACCCTTCTCCTTCAACTGGTCCGTCACTCTCAAAGGAGTTACCGGATACAGTTCACAACACGCACTATCACAATGTTGTGGCCACAACGCCAGGCAAGGCGACCCCACCGGTGTCACAGCAACACAGCCGCGGTGCGGTGCGTGTGGCCCGTGCGATGAGACAAGCCATCTCAAGTCCCACGGTAATCGGGTGCCGAGGACGGCGCCAGCCCCAGAGACCCCAGAGCAGAAGAGTCAAAGAGTAGATCAGCTTCACAGATCTATTAAGAGAGGCAAGCTGGCTTACAAAGAAAATCATTTTTGTTGTGCTATTTTACAATGGGGGTAGTTTAATAAAAAGGAGTAAGTTACTGCTGAAACACGGCACACACACAAAAAAGCTACACAGGTGGGAATGTTGGTGTCTCCCAGCCTGACCGTGTCAACCGGTGTGGTCCACCTCCACCCGCCACAGCCCCCTAGTGATACCACTGACGGGCAGAGGAAGATGGAGAAGGGAGGAAGTGAGGAGGAAGAAGCTGAGACTCGGGGAGGAAGTGGCTGGACCCACTCGGCATGAAGTAGCCAGCGTCGGGGCATGGGGACTGACGGCAGAGGAGTCTGGGCTCTGTGCCTCCTAGTGGTGGGGGTGTGCATGGTCAAGGGGGCAGGAGGTTGGGAAATAGTCACAAGATGGACAGGGTGGATGGGGTGGGTGGTGAGGCAAGAGAAGGGATAGCCGTTCAAGGTGGGACTATCCAATATGCAGGTAAGCACGGGCTTGCTTGTGTTTAGTTACTTCTCTATAGTGACAGTTTCACAACCGATGTGGCGAAAAACATAGGAAACTGTTCACCAGGGTTCTCTAGAGAAACAAAACCAGGACACTTTGATTATACATATGGATAGGTTTATACAGCGAGGAGTATCAGTCAATGAGTCCACACAGCAGTACAGAGGACTCAGTTCAACTCACTTTTGTGGAACAGTTAGTCTATTGAAAGTCCTTCAACTCACATGGACTGCTCAGTCCAAGGTCAAAGAAGCAGACAGCTGAGTCTTCCCTTAGGCAAGGCAGGCAGAGTTCTCCCAGAGGCAGCAAACAACAGGGTGAACCACCACCAGTCAGCAGCTCAGGAGCTTAGCAAAGCAGGCCCGGATGGGATATTGAACTCAAGCAATGC